ATTTTACTCCAAGGTTATGCGAAAAGTTGGCAGCCCTGCATTTTCCTCCTCCGCAGTACTGACTTCAGTCATCTCTAAATCAGCACCTTGAAAAAAATGTCTCAAAATTATAGGGTTTTGTTCCACTCTTTTTAATAAATCTTCAATCAACTTATGGTGTCAAGAAGGTTAAAAAATCATTTTCATTTTAAAAGATCTATCTGTGGCGTCATTTACCAATCTTCAATAAGGTTAGGCTAGGCTAGTTTAGGCTAGGTTAAGCTGGCTGCCACATTCTCTCATTCCGACCACCCCACAGCTAATCCCCCACTGCTCATCCCTACAATTAGCCCCTTAGGGTCTCTTTTTCTTGATCTCTTTGGTAACATTACTCAAAATTTGTATGGGAATGTGTTTGTTTTTTTGTTTTTTTTGTTTGGGGGGGGGTCTAGTTACATTTTGTTTCCACAACCTTGCATTGCAACTAAGTTCAAAATAAGAAAAGTTATTAAATGTTTTAGGTTTTTTCAAAAGGATTTGTGCAATTATCTTGCTGAATTATAAAGATACTATTAGGGTCTTCTGCAGTTAATTCTTTAGATAAACATTTCAGTAAAATTTCTCCTGATGTTATCGGGGATTTATATCAGCCAGCGTCGTATATCTGGCTTGGTTCAGACCATTTTATTCCCCCTTTTAATATTGGACTGATCCTTTGACTGTAACAGTGATGGATCAGATGAGTCTCTTTGTAGAATATTGCATTAGGTGTTTTTGTGTGTACTCTCTTAGTCACAAGCTAAGTTACAGTTAGAAAGGATACTGTTGAAGCATCTGGCATTAGCAGTGTTATAATGCGATTTACTCTCTCTCACACCCCTCTGTTTGGTGCCTGAATACAAAACAGCTTTTTTCACATTCTAACTAGACCAGATGGCACTGGTGTATTGTCCAGGAGGTGTCCGTGTGTATATGTGCACAGAGTGGAGTGTGTTTAGGGGTGTGTGTGTATATTGGGGTTGAGAGGGCAGGTGTTTGAATAAATAAAGTAGAAGCCCCTTAGTCTGTGTAGATGGTTAATAAAGATAGCAAAAAACAGTCTAAAGTCTTTATGGATGTGAAACCACAGCACAAGTGCAAAGGAGCAGCAGATATTTTGATGAATTTTTTTTATTTGCTGTTTTTTGTTTTTTTCTTTATCCTAACTGCAAAATAAAAGAAAAGAAAAGAAAAGAACAAAAGAATTACATTTCATATTAGAACCCCAACTGGGTAGTTCCACTTAAGTATATTAGACTACGATATATTAGATCAATATCTGGAAAGACTTATGGTTCAGTTCATAAATAGGCATATGTTTTTTTTTTTTTTATCTTAGGTGACATTTAGTTAGTGGTTTCAAAAGTACACACATTTGTCACTTAAGTAGAAGTATAGATACTGCAGTTTAAAAACACTAGTAAAAGTTCAAGTATCAAGTTTACCTCTTAACTCAAGTAAAGGTGAAGAAGTGTGTGCTACAAAAACTAGTTAAAGTATAAAAGTATAAAGTAACTTTAAAGAAAAACAGCTAGATGCCACTATATGAATTGAAAGCTCAATTTTTGGACTATTTCAAAAAAGGAGGTCTTGTTGGTCTTCGTCTCCATCTCCCGATACGCTCTCGCCTGTGACAACCTTTCAGTTCATGGCATAGACAATTCACGTTTGCAGTTTGAAGAACACCTGCTTTTTTTATGATTTCCTGTGGTGTCAGCACAAATTTTAGGAATAGCTAACCAATGAGTGATGGCGCCAATGATCTGCATTGGATGGCGAACATGACGTGAAATAAATATTTATAAACATTAAACTGAACCCAAGGGTAAAATTTGTTTTAAAAATGTAATGAGTAGAATTCAGAAGTTGAAAGAAAAATAAGTAATAGAGTAAAGTATAAATACCTAAAGAGTGTCCTTAAGTACAGTAGCGAAGTATTTGTACTTTGTTACTTGAGACCTCTGCATTTAGTTGAGTGTGACATTAGTGTATTTATTATTATTTTCTCTCACAGAGTACTTTTATTTTTATTTTATTTTTCAAAATAGAATGTGTTTTTGAAAATTTGAACTACTGTAGGTGAAGCCAAAACATAAACAATTTGAAGAGTTCAACATAGAGCAAATCTATGTAGAGATAGAAACGTTTGTCATATTAAATGGGAAAGTCCGTCCTCGCCTGGCCTGGTTGTTTTTCTTTAAAGGGTCCAAAATAAATGCCAGACACCATATTGCTTAACACAAGTCAAATGTCATTGGCATCACCACTGCTTCTTGAAAAACATCCAAATATAATTTTGTCACCAACCACTTTTCCTAAAAAGTCTGGGTCATGTTGTCTGTGGCTCTTTGAATAACCATACATGTGATTCTGCTATCTGCAATAACCTGGATATCTTTGCTTTGTTTTACATTTTTATTTTGTTTATATCCTATCAAACAGTTAAAAAGGAATCTTAACTCTCAAATTTGGTTAGTAGAAAACTGGGACTAAAAGTTCATGTCAGACACAGCACTTTTACAAACTAGGGGCATTTGAAAAGATGATGCAGTAATGGGAAAGAGTAAAATGTGGCTGGACAACATGCTGAGCTTCAGAACTGTCCCGGGAACCAAACATTTGCCCCGATGAGCAGACTGAAAGAGAGATACAAGAAAATAGTTACTGCATGCTAAGACACAGACAGTAAAGAGACTAAAAGGCTCCAAGGACTGAAGCATAATAGGAGAAAGAAACAAAGAAGCAGAAGAGTACTTTATGACAAAAAAAAGAATAAGATATAGCAGCAAGAAAGGAGAATTTAGACAAGTTGGTGAGTCACAAAAAAAATATATAAGTAGTGTCTCTGCAAAAACATCTTTATTCATTTATTTTGCTCATTCTCTGGGCTCTCTGTGACCTGAATTTGTCTTGTTAGGCAATCAGCTACAGTTTTGTCTAGTGTTTAAACTGATAGAATATAGCAGTAAGAGCACCTGTCTACTATTATGCTCCCATTTTGCCAAGCCAATCTTTAAAGTTCTGTGAGTTTTAACTCACTTTTTCACAAAACCATTCTTTGTTCTGCTCATAGACAGCAATGTCATATGTGTAATTATTACGACAGGGCCTGTAAAATAGGCTTTGCCGAAAACCTGTGTGTAAGCTGCATCAGTCACCTATGGATGATAATGATATGGATACACTGAAGAAAGTAAGAAACAAAGAATGCTTTTCATACCAGCTGTCAGTGTTTATCATATGATTGCTGAATAGTGCCCATAAACAATCTTTCTTTTGCAAGTTTTTCAACACCCACTTTAAGCAATATATTCATGTATCTCTGGTGTTTCCAAAAACTTATATTGTGATCTCACTCTTAGCCCACTTGCTAATGATTCAGGCAGCATGACAGTCTCACCAGCTGCTCATAATGGGATCTGTTTCACTGAGCAACAGGGAGATTATGCACAGTCAGTAGAATTATAACACTGCTGGGATCAGAGAAAACAAGCTATAAAATCCTGCAACACCTCATTCAACCCACCTTGGGCCAAACAGCTACAAATATCTTTCACAGTAAATATGCTAAATGGTTGCCCACACACAACAGGCCACCTGCTGACTCTATATTTGAACACAAAAATAATAATACAGATGTACAACTTTGCCTAATGTTGATCCTGTATCATCTCACACAAGCCTTGTCTCATTAGCTCACTGTCAAACTGTTAAGTTAACACCTTGGGTGTTTTTCTCTGAGTGACTTTAGTATATAGTTTTTATTATACTAACAGTTTTGTCCACATCTATTCCTGAGAATCATTTTCTTTTTCTCTCCTTGTCTGTCTTTACTTTGCAGGTTGTTTCCAGCTATGTAACGTTTTTCGTCACAACATGGAGATAGACCAGTGTTTGCTGGAGTCTCTCCCAATTGGCCAGCGCCAGCGCCTGGTCAAACGGATGCGCTGTGACCAAATAAGGGCATATTACGAAAGGGAAAAGAACCTTGAAAGGCAGCAGGGTGGAGTCAAAGTTCGAGCCCCATCCACCTACGGCAGGAAGCATCGCATCCGCTTCAGGCACACCGACCTCATTCAAGATGCAATCATTCGCCATGACAACAAAGAAGGTGTGTGTGTCTGAGGTTCATGGTGTCATATAGCTATCCCTAACCAAAATGTATTTTAAATGCATTATGTGATACAACATCAATCTGCCCTTAAAGTGAGGTGGATTAAATTATATTATATTTAAAACTATTGAAAAATGGATTGTGTATCTGGGATTTTAGGGTAACGAAACGCTTTGAGTAATCTGAAATCCAGCCTGTTTGTTAGGGTGTTAGAGGTTAATCAGAGACCACTAGTGAACAAACATTATGAAGATGAACACAGCTGGAAGGTTAGGGAGAAAGTTGGGGAAACCTTTGAAGTGGTTTTAGATTATAAAAGAATACCATAACCTTAAGACATCCATCCATTTTCCGTCACACTTATTCGAAGCGGGGACACGAGCTGTATTGAGCTGTCTATTGGCGAGAGGAGGGGTGCAGCCTGACAGGTCGCAAGTCTATTGCAGGGCAACACAGAGACAAACAACCATTCACGCACACACCTAAGGAGAATTTAGAGAAACCAATTAACCTAACAGTCATGTTGTTTGGACTGTGGAAGGAAGCCGGAGTACCCAGAGAGAATCCAAGGAGAACATGGAAACTCCATGGGAATCAAACCCGGAACCTTCTTGCTGCAAGGCAGCAATGCTACCCACTGCATCACTGAGCAGCCCACCTAAAGACATATGAAAGTTGAATTTTTATTCATCATCCACAAATGAAAATACTACAATACACCATATGTCAGGGGGGTTAGTGGCCTAATAGGGCAAAGTGCTTGAGTTCTGAAGAAGGCTGCAAGCGGAGGAGACTGAGGAGTGTTGCAACACTTTAGCCTCTTTAGCGGGTTAACACAGGTTTTTTAAACACGGCTCAACCCGCAATCTGCATTTGATTCCTTTCCCATTGGCAAAAAAAAAAAAGCTTGGTTGTTTGGCTGTAAATGCTTGTTTGGCACTGGCCAAATCTCTCTTACCAGTGCTGCGCAATATTTGATAAATGTAGGCAGAGTTGTTTCGATTTGTTAAACTACATGACTGCCACAATGTTATGACTTATGTTAACTGAGCACAATTGTATCGGTTAAATTAGCAGGTCGAACCCGGGTCTGATGTTCAAACTGAGTGCTGATCGAAGCTGTTTCAAGGTTATTTTGACCTTCAATTTACTTGGAAATTCAATGATTTAAAGACCATGATAAAATAAAAATAAAAAACTTAAATATAATTAAAAAAAAGTATTTTTGAAGATAGCAACACTTCTCTAAACTAATTCTCCTTTAACATAAAACTTATGAAAGGAGTACATCTACAGTAGTGACAATATTAACACCGTAATGTATATTAGCTTCACCTCAAAATGTCATGGTAGCCTCACTTAAGCTTGTGTACAAAAATTTGATTTTTGACATAAACATTAGCTACGTTGTCACCAGCATTTTTTTTCAACAAGCTTATTGACTCAGGTTGGATGGAGAAGCCAAGCATTTCACTCATGTAAGAGAAGAAATATTTTGTTAAGATGGTACTCAAGAAAAAGTAAAAGGTAAGCACAGTAAAACTACTCCTAAAATGCATTTTTTCTTTTACTCAGGTAAGTGCAACCGAGTAAATGTAACTAGTTACTACCAAACTTTGGTTTTTAAGTTCACAACCAAATATTGTTGAGAATCACAAACAAAACTAACATTACTGGTTACCAAGGCTGGTATGCAACCATGTACTCCAAAAACATTTGCTGCTGTATTGTAAAGCAAAAGGTCCCTTACTAACTAGTAAACTTGTACTGTAGAATAGCAAATTATTATTTTTACATTAAATAACTATTAAATTATCACCTTAAAATTGCACTTTAATTTTTTGGTATACTAAAAAATGTCAATAGGTATAAGGAGTGTGCTTGGTGGGTAGCATATAAAAAAACGGGAGGACATGTTGACAAATGAGTGACAAACAGCACGTGGGCCAAAACAGAGCTGCCCACTGTAGCTTACTCAGTTTGTTCAGCTGGAAATTGCCAACTCAACTGAGAAGAGCCAATAGAAGCTTTTATTTTTGTTCAAACTGTCCTCAAGGACAAAAGTACCAAAGCAGGGACAAACTCTCTGAAACATTTATGAAACACTCAAATAAAACATTTTATTTTCTGTTTTCTAAAATGTCCACCAACACTAGCAATCTTTAGAAATAAGACTAAAATGGTGATAATAATAAAATTCAATTTCTTGGTTATTTATCATTCTTTACACAAATATTTGCTTGTCCAGTTTTCTTTTGTTTGTTTTACATTTTATTGTTAAAATAATACACTGATGTATTAACCCAACCGAGACAATGGGATCCATTTAAACCATATACCATTTTTTACTCACTTTCCAGTCTTCTGATTCTATTTAATCAGCTGCTAAATACCAAAAGATCATAATAATTAAGGGAATTACTACTGAGAATGGTTAAACTGCACCAAATAGTTTGTTCTCAGATCTTAAATACTCTATTTTATCATTGCAATGAATTGCTGTTACAGAGTAAGTATAATGAATACAAATAGAAAATGTGTTTGCTAAAAATGTTTTACCAAACACAAGTTTTAAATGTTTTAAGATATTTTACAGTGTACATCAGAGCTTTTCGGTAGTGACCAATCCAATAAAACATCCTGCATGGAAATATGCCAAATCCCCCTACTGTATAGTGGTTCCCATGGTAATCTTATTCATCTGTAAATGTATCAGTACAAGATGTCTCTCTCCTAATGCAATTTTCTATTTTTGTGTGTAATGAAATTTTATTTTAGTAATCAAAACAGTGTTATAAACCGTGTCTTTATTGCATAGGTATAACCCTGTGATCCTTTACATTTCTGCTGTATTCAAAACCACGTCTTTTTTCAAGAAACATGATTAGCCGTATTTCTTTTATTGTCAGTGTATGATATCCTTATGTATAGATTTATTTTTCTCTGTCTGACTAACTAAGTTTGGGAGTTGATCCTTAAGAAAACCACAAATCTGATAGTAAAATCTGACTTGCTGCATCTCTGCTTTGTGGTACAGCTTTTTCCCTCGAATGAAAATAACAAAAATTTATGCCCAACTGTAGTAAAAAAAGCCAATTCATTCATTTAGCTATTGTTACATTGACAAGACTTACACACTATCCTCTTGGATACTATACATTTTCTCCCCCTCTCAAGTTCTTTTGTAAGGATAGCATTGCAGCTCGCTCTTTAAAACACCCTCTTCAATGGTTTTACAAGATTATTTTGTCAATAAATGTGTGCAAGTCAAGAGGATTTTACACTCTACTCTGCTGTGCATTGATTTTTGTCCGAGTTCAGTGCCTTTTTTGTTTATTGTGCCAATTGCCAGTCATTTACCCAGCAGTAGGGAAATATCTGTGTCCCACCAGCACTCTTTGCAGGTCAGTGTGATAATCTTTCCTCCCTGGCTGTCTGTGCGTGCTTCAGCTGAGCCCTTTGTGAGCAGCTGGTGTCTCTTTGCTTTGACCGGACTGCAGCTTGTAGCTGGCTTCTTGGCTCAGCATGTTTATCCCTCTGTGTTTTTTCCAGATATCGCTTTGAGACTAAACTAGCACCCTTTGCTAACAATGTGAACAGTGGAGCAACATCAAACATTGATGATACAGTCTTGGAAAAGTTTCTTGCTTTTGTTGGGACTTGTGTTATAATCCAAATCAAATGTAAATTTACTGGTTATCTTACTATTTTGTAAAAACTGTAGTGGTGTTTCTACTTATTGCCTTTATTGCTCAAATGGACTAATGCTATCTATGTTTAATTAAAGGGTAACCTTTAGGCCTTTGCCTTAAGAAAGTAGTGCCAAAGAAGATTTAACAAGAAATATGATTCTTAACTGTGAAATTATCAAGCTATTTTTATCTTTCATTTAGAAAAGACCATCTGGATATGAGGGTAAAACTCTAGTTAGCCTGCTTACTATATAAACTTGAAAGACTCTGACAGCATATCCAAATGCTCTACTTTTATAGAAGATAAAACTGTATGTGTGTTTATTTTGTTATGGATATGTCATAATATTGTGCTGCAGAATTTGCTCAATGTTTTCACTATATATGAACACATCCCCTTAAGCCGAAGAAGCCTCCCTCCACCTTTATTTTCAGCTTAGAGAGGGGCTATTAATCAATGTTATTAGGACAGACATTCTGTGAGCAAACTTGTACATGTAAAACACCCTGTTATCGAATATTGAGTAGAAAAGGTTAAAGGGTGAGTCAACATGGAGCTAAATTAGAAGAAAGCCATGCATTGCTCTTAAACGGATGGATGTGTTGTCAAGGGAATTTGATTAAAACTGTTTTAGTGATTGCTCTACAAACAATGGATGATGATTATCAGTCCTGTTAGCTGTATAATACAATAAAATGATCAATTACAAAGTTTTCAAATATAAAGACACTACATAAAATTAATTTATCTGTCAAGACCCATAAAATAAATCTAATTCAACAACATTCCAACATACGGAAGCCGAGAGCGGTCATACCCAACTTTTTTTTTGTCCTTTGTCTTTTCGAGATAACGTCATAAGTATCTCGTTATCACGGCTTAACAAATAATTGTTTACATTTGTAAACATTTATTTATTTCTCGAGTTAACAAGATCATTAACCTGTATGAGTAATGAATGAGGCTGGCCTAACAGCCCTGGATTCCCAGTCCATCCATGTCTGCTGGGCCAGTGGTTATGCAGTTGCGGCACTGTGTGTGCAAATAATATTTTTTTGTTTCCTATTTCTTTTCACTCCTTGTATGGTTGTGGTGGATGATTGGATTGCATGGAATGCAGTAGAAACAAATGTGACTGTTTTTCAATGAAAATCTTGAATCTGGACTCATTTTGGGGGTTAATGCATCTTATACCTGTTACAGGGGTAACCGGGGCTGTTCAGAAAACACCCGGCACTTAGCCAGTGGAGGCATAGGTCTAATTGCTTATGAATCAGAAGTGGAAGCAAATCATCAAACCAACA